GGGCTCTGGGGTGAGACTCAAAAGCTGCTCGATCTCTTTTAACTCCTGCAGCGCGGCGCTGGACAGTCGGAGCCGGTCCTTGGGGAAGTAGCAGGAGGCCAGGGGGATGTAGCTGTACTTGGTGGTGCAGAGGTAGGTGCGCTCAGAGCGGGACCTGTGGGTGCTTTCGGACTCTGAAGAGCTGCTGCTGTCGGTGCTGGTTTCTGCGCTAAACCCCCCAAACCCACCCTTGGCTGCGAGGCTCATGCTGTATCCCAGCGTTTCCATGGTCCGTGTGAACGTGGACTCTGCTGTGGCCGATGAAAACTCCTTCGTCTCAAACAAGGGCCCTTGCTCTGGGCCAAAGAGCTCCAACCCGTCTGGGAGCTCTAGGAGCTGCTCGCGCTTCTCCACCATCTCAGCAAGCTGGCTGGTTTTGTAAATGCCCTGCAGGGCCAGCCCCCCCGACGCCCGTCTCACAACTTCCCTGTCAGGGAGAGTCTCACTCTGGGACATCGACTGCTCCAGGAGGTCTAACTGCTTGTGCGCATTCTCCACCACCTCTCGCAGCGACTTCTGAGATGGGGCCCAATACTGGGGGGCTACCTCCATCGCTCGCCGCAGCTCCTCCTCTTTCCTCCTTACAACCTCGTCCTGGCGGCTTCTGCCTTGCTCCTGCATCGCCTTGAGCTCCTGCAGCGCCGACTTCGCCTGCTCCTGCCTCTTCCTCAGCCCCTCCACGCGCTCCCCCTGCAGCTGCTGCATCGTGGCCTTCTTCTCAGCTATGTTAAGAAGGCTTCGGAGAGCCTGCTTTTCCCACTTGTGCTGAACTTCCCCTTCCAGCGTGAGGTAGTCTTCGTACGTTAGGTGTTCCAAAGCCTGTGCAGAGGTAACCCCCAATCTGTCTCGTAGTTTGGGCAGCCAATACTCCGTACTCAGTCCCACTCCAACGAGTCTCTGCCCCAGCTCTTCCATCCCGGGGTGTTTCTGTCCCGTGGGTCCCTGGCCAGGGTGGGCGTGGTTCTTCTCTGCAGACAAGGGTCTGAAAATGGAAAACATTTTTGTGTCACTTCATGAACATGTTTTCCAGCTCTCAGATCATTTCCTGCAGCTTCATGCACTGAAGTAGTCTGACAGTTTGCCAGCACTCACACTGGACAAATTACAATATCCGGATCCCCCCCAAACCAAGACACACTGCACTAATGTGTGTCTCTGTACACTCATACACCCACTAACTCTCCATACACTCATCCTGCAGGGCGAGAGGGGGACTGCCCCTTCTTCTTCAGGAGAGTCTGTGATCCTTAATGGTCTATTTTTTCTCTGTGCCTGTTCTTTTATTCTTTCCTTCTATACACATTAGTTTAGGTATAACATGGGCAGTTGGTGAAGTTTCCATTTGGGGAGGCAATAGCTTCCCAGGCCCTGACCCCTTCCCACTGTGTCAATCCTCTTTTCTCTGCGTATCCCGTGTCCCTGCTCTCTGAGGATTTGTCCCCTTCCAGCCAAATCCCTGCACCCAAGCAAATTATTTTTGAAAAAACCCTCCGCTTTATTGTTTTCTCAACAAAATGGAGCATATTTTGTGCCACATGCCAGACATACAGAAGATACCTAAGAACAGCACTACATTTGGGAAGAAGGAATGTCAGTCACAGGTTTATTAGATACCCTCATAACTGACATGCAGGCAGCTTGGAAATGCCCCAAACGCCTCCCATTGATCCTGGGGAACACAGAATGGCAAGCACCAGTTACAGCTAATTAAGAAATCTCTGTCCTTTCTTCACGCCATCAAATATGTTGTCAGGCCTCACCCTCCGCTGGCATTTGCCTGCCGACAGGAAGAAAGTGACTAGAATCTGACTGCAAAATTTGCCACCTCATTTTC